TGCTGGACACTCCCACATGGCTGACCATGGTTCGGGTCCTGAACCTGGTGGCTTGCTTTCTCACTTTTCCTCTCTCTCTCTCTCTGCATGTGTCTCTCTGGTCAAATTAAAACAAATGAATGAAATTAAATCATTATTAAAAAAAAAAAAAGACAGACTATTGAAGTGTGTTTTAGGATCAGAAGATAGATATTAACTGGTTGACTGAGTTCTAGAGATGGTAACCAGAGTCCCAGGTGCCGCTGTTTGTGAGGAATGTAAATGTACCAGTGTGATCTGCACCTTCTGCAGGGATGACACAGTTGAATTCTCTGAGAAGCAACTACCGAGATAGCGTCTAGTCCAAGTTTTATTGGAGAGTAACACCTATAAATAGAATGGGGGAAGAAAGTAGGCAGGGAGAGCTGTCAGACAGCGATACCAATCTGGCAAAGTCTCTACTCACCCAGAGAGGAGTTCCAGAACAGATTGCTCATTACAGCCCTACATTCCAGGGGAATGGCTAAGCCTTTATACTTTGCTCAGTTTTTGGCTAGGGGCCAGAGAGCAGTACAGCTGGAGGTCCTCCCTTAACCAGGCTTCTTGTAGCTAGGTAGCCAGTGCTTCCTTCCGCCTCCCTCCTTTTTTTTTCCTGAGAGACAGCTTCCCAGCAGGGCTTTGATATGCTGTGATCTACCCCCAGCATCAACCAGCCCCAAACAGAGAGCACCCATGTGCCTCCCCACTGAGGGAAGTCTCCAGACCTGAACCCAGAACCACCCCATATTGATCAGCCTCACAGAGTGATGCTTTTTTCCCACTGCACCTGGTCCTGCCAGTGTTTCAAGGGACATCTAAGAAGCAACAGCAGCAGTAGAGTCTGTGTGTCTGCCAAAGGGGTCTTGGTGGATCGTATACAGGTTCTTAAATATTTAGTTGCATTGGTCCTTAGGTTGATGTGTGTGTGCATGTGTGTGCAGGCATATATATATAAACTAAATTCAAGAACATTGTACACCTCCTCCCTTTCCTCCCCTTCTCTAACTCTGAGTTCCTTATTTCCCTCACTGGGATTCCACAGGATGTTGTTGGCATCTATCCTAATACTTTCTACTACCACATAAAGTTAACTGTGTTTACACTTTCCCTTCTAAACTGAGCTTCCCTAAGGGTGTAAGTGGGATTTTGTTTGTTTGTTTTGTCAGAGGGCATATGCACTCACCAGAGAAAGGGAGAGAAAGCACCCCCTTTCAATGGGGCGTGGTCAAGCCACATTCCCTTCTCTATCTCCCCCATCCTGTTGGGATTTGGGGCACACATGTACATATGCCCAGTGTTTCTCACGCCACTGGGACCAGGATAAGAACTGTGTGGTTCGCTCTGTGGGGTCAGGCTCCCTTAACCATGAGGCCAGGGAGGCAGCCCATAAGCATGTCTTTATACCGCCCAACACCTTGATCTCTGAAATAAAGTGATTTCTCATGAAAAGCAAAGAACTGGGTCTTCTTGTAATAAAGGTGCTTTTATCGATCCAGTTTGAACTAGACCTTCTGTTTATTTCATGTAAATACCCATTCCATCAGGTTAGAGTTCATTCAACTTCCAAAACGAGGATGTGGAAAGGGAGTGTGAGAAATTGTAGGGCTGAGAACTGAGGACAGGTTTAGAAGGAAAACAGTAATGGTAAGTAAGTTTGGAGTGAAGAGAGAAAAAGAAATAAAAGCTGTCGGACAGGAAAGGCCAATGAAAGAAGGAAAAAGAGGACAGGGGAAGAAAAAGAAAAATGAAAAACAGAAGAGAAAACAGAGCTGAGAAAAAGGGATGTGGGGAGTCAGGCTTAGGGCTGGCCCGCCCAAGGAAATATCCATCAATAGAAGCCTTGCTGACAGCTGTTACCATAATGGGAACTGGCACCTAAAGAGAGGGCAAGTCTGGTTTAATTAGTTAAATGGCATTATCTATGTCCAATGGGGGTGGGGAGGTTAAGGGAGTGGAAGGATTGGTGACCCACCTCCTTTCATAGGCTGAAAGGAAAAACAGATTTACAAAGCTTTGCCAGGAATTAAAGGGAGAGGAGCTGTTTATTCCCCAATCAACTTCCCGAGATTCTCATGTGTTCTTATTCACCAGTTACATATTTTTAGAGATTTAATTTTACTTATCATTATTTTTAAATTTGCTATAGGGCATGTGTGCTCACCAGAGAAAGACAGAGAGAGGGAGAGTGAGAAAGCAAGCCACCAGGTCCGGGACTTGAACCATAGTTGGCCATGTGGAAGTCCAGCACCTCAACCACCATGCCACCTGCTGGCTCCAATGCATTACTTTTTTTTTTTTTTCCTTAAGTTTTTGGTGGTGTTGTTGCCATAGGGAATGTGTGCTCACCAGAGTGACAAAGAGAGACAGTGAGAGGGAAAGTGAGAAATTAGCCCCCCATGGGGGATGGCCACACTGTAGTCCCTTCTCCTCCCATCTCCTCCTGGTATTCTGGACACATGCACACACATACCCAGCATGTTTCAAGCTGCCAGGTCCAGGACTCAAACTGTGATTGATCATGTGGGAATTCAGAGCCTTAAGCACCACACCACCAGTGGCCCCACTACAAGTTACATTTTAAAGGGAAACTGGAACCAGCAGTTGCCTTAATGACTATGTCACTGGACTCCCATGTAGTCAACCACGGTTCGAGTCCCAGACCCGGTGGCTTAAACTCACACTGGGCGCGTGTGTATATGCCAAAGACCCCGAGAGGAAAATGGAGAAAGGATTGTGGCCATCCCCCATGAGGGGTGATTTCTCATTTTCTGTCTCTCTCTCTCTGTATTTCTGGTGAGTGCATGCACCCTATGGCAAAAATCTTTCTAAAAAAAACAAACAAACAAAAAAGACATTTTAAGGAAAACTATACTGCTCTGGTGGAAACAACTAGAATCAAACATTGGTTCTTTACCTTGAATAGAACCAGTAGGTGTACTCACTTCCTTGTCTGCCAGGCAATCTCACATCAAGTGTAGTAATGATGAAGCAGGAAGTAAGCACCATCCTGGATCCCTGAAGGTAGCACTAAGGCTGGGATTCTGTCAAACTGGGTTCTTAATCCAATTTAGTCACTAATTGACTGAGTAACTTTGGGCAAATCATTTAACAATGCCATCTCTTTAGCATTAAGATTCAGGGGCATAATAATCTCTCTTTTTTTTTTAAAAGTTTTTTTTGCTATGGGGTGTGTGTGCTCGCCAGACACAGACACCGACACAAACACAGACACACAGTCAGAAGTCACCCCTCAGGGGAGATGGCCACACCACAATCCCTTCTCTTCCAGTCTCCTTTTGGGATCTGGGGCATGTTCACTTGTCCAGCGTGATTTTCAAGCCACTGGGTCTAGGACTAAAGCTGTGCAGTCAGCCATGTGGAATCCAGCCACTTTAATCACCGCCATGCCATTTACTGGCCCCATATAATAATCTCCCTCCTTCCCACATAGTAACGTTATGAATATTAAAAAATAAAAATAAATTAGGAAAGCAAGGTTTGAAAGTCTCATCTGAACTTTTATCATGTTTTTGAGACAAAATAAAGAAAAAAACCACACTCCATCCCTATATGCTTCCTGTTTAAATTCACTAAAGAAAACATGTACTTGTGAGAACTCAAGTTCTCACACTCATGTGTGAGAAAGGAGGAAGGAGGGAGATAGACACCCCCAACAGGGTCTTGTCATGTAGCAGTCTCCTCCCATCCCGATTTTAGATCATCAGGCTCTTGGCTTCCTGCACACGGTGGGCTTAAGAGCTGAATCCCTGATTGGCCATGTGGCTTCCAGCACTGCAGTTTAGTACACCACTGCCTGGACCATGGAGGCTAAGCCTCCTCTGTATTTTTTTTAAAAAATTATTTATTAAATTTATTTATTATTATTCAATTTGACCACAGAGAGATAGAGAGAGAGGGTGAAAAGGTAAGCTGCCAGGTCTGGGACTCAAACCATGGTCAGCCATGTGGGAGTCCTGCACCTTAACAAGGTCACCTGCCAACTGCCCTCCTCTGCATTCTTAGTTTTAAGACTCGTTCTTTATCATGTTAGTAGGATTATTAAGGTTGAAATTTTTCCCCTTTCTGATTACATTAACTCTAAAGGGCCATGAAATTTAACTCACATTGGCTCTACAGATGCACTGATGTCAGTAGGCTGGTCTGGGGCTTAGAAAAGACTGATCAACAACTTTCAACCTCCAGACAAAGCAAAATAAAATGCTAAAGCCTGGTGGTGTAAGGTTCGAGGCAGAGAAAACCTAGACAATGGCTGGACACAGCGGGCAAATCCCAACCCTTTGAGAACACAAGATCCATAGAGAACACACATTTCCATGGGAAAATTACATTCACTGGAGGTTGTTTTAGGACAAGGCTAAATAAATTAAGTATTTCAACACCATATGTTCAGTTTTGGCAGGAGATGGAGGCTGGAAGGGAATCGCGATGTTAGGAAATGCCCATATCACACCCCAGCTGGCTATTTAGTCATGAAATAAGGAGAAACACACAAATATTTGGTCAAAACACCTTTAATGATGGAGGGAAAGACACTAACATCTCCCCGGTCTGCTCTTGACATTTTACTATATTAGGAAGCTCTGGAGACTACAACTTTGGAGGAGAAGTCATCATTCAAGTCAGTCAGCAGTAAAACCCTCTATCCCTCCTCCTCAGAACTCCTGTTCCAAATAATCCTATGTTAAGAGTAAATACTACATCTCAGTATAAGATGGAGAGGCAGGGACACCGCTTGGGACCCATCGCCCAAAGTCTGGGACTCTAAGAACCAGACAGTGGCAAAGACATAAGCCCCAGTCCGTGGATAGACAAACTAGGGAGGAAAGGGGTTCTGAGAGAGGAAGATGAGGGAAATACAGGAGACCAGGGAATAAAGGAGGGCGTTATCTAAAACTAGAAGCACACTAGTGCTAGGGAATCCCCCATGATCCCTGGTG